CTAATGGCCAGATATTCACGTGGCAACAACATGGCTAAAAACAACTGGTCCAAACTAGGTGAGCCCAAGAGGTAGCAATGGATTAGACAGAATACTCATTTGAGACTCTTCAGGACACCATCTGGACAAACCTGTAACATCAAGCAGTCATGGGGAGGAAGGAATGTGAGGGAGGGTTCAGGAACTACCCCATGTTTCTGGCGTAGGCACGTGTGTTCACTGAGGACATAAAAGTTTTGGAGGGAATGACAGTAATTTCACTCAGGCATGTTGAATTTAGGGTACCTGTGAGACTCATTTTTTATTCTGAATAAAGCTAGATGTTTAGGGCTACACAGTCAAGAGTGAGGACTGGCTCATGAAGATATGGGAGTTGGAAATAACTGAAGTTGGAAATTTGCTGAAGTACTGATAGAGATGAGATGATGGTCCCCATAGAAATGTAGAAAGAGAGAAGAAAGCACTAAAAGATGCTTAATAAAGAACTGGCTGTTAGAAGCAGCTGTATAAATAATTACATTTATGCATCCACAAATACAGTCAATTCCGAATGATCTATGCTAATGGAGGAAAACTGTAATATGCATAATATGAAGTGCCAATACAAAATTCACTTATATGCATTTTGGTGGACATGCGGAGGACAGAAGGGTTTATAGAAGATTTACTTATATTTGCTGAAACTTGGTTTACTCTCCGAGGAGACACGTTAACTTTGATAAAAGGACAAAATGGTATGGAATGCAGCAGTCCTTGAGGGGTCTAGTCAACATCCATTCCTCCTTCTTTACAAACAAAACCTTAACTTTTCCCAGAGTGCCAATGTGCCCAGCTGAAAACTTAATCCCCGCCCCCTGTGCGTCAAGTGACCATGTGACACAATTCTGGCCAATGAAATATTAATATAAGCGAAAGCCCAACAGATGGAACCTCTGCAAAGGCTGGCAGACCCCACTCCCTGGCCTGGCCCTCACCCTATCCCTTCCTAGACACACAGCGTTGGAGTTGGAGCAGCGACATTGTGACCTTGAGACCCCGAACATGGCAAGGTTACTGAATGGAAATATACAAGAATGCTGGGGCTCCATGAAGCCCTAGAATCAGCCCTCGACTTCCTATGTCCAGATGTAAATAAAAATAAGAAGATCCTTACTTCTTTAAGTCACTTTTTTTCTGGGTTTCTGTTACTTGAAGCCTAGTGAATTTCTCCCGACACAGAATTCCTATTCGAAAATAGTCTTAGGTACAAACTCCCCCAAATTGCCTTCAAAGTTAATATGACAACCGGGAAAAAATGAACAGTTGGTGCCCACCTCGCTGCAACAAGAAACCCTAGGGTCACCCGCTTCAGCCTTGATTAAATGAAGTGAGGGGAAAAGGAGGCGGCAGCTGGGATTAGCTGGCCCTGACAGAAGAGCTCCCCAGAAGACTGTGTCCCCAAATCTCCAAATGCTAACATCCTCCACCATGTTTTCATTTGGCTTTTCATCTTTCCCTCTATCCTTAACCTAATGGAAGAAAAAGTGAACAATAAAGTATGAATACATTGTTCATTAACCTTCAGCGCCTTCCCATTGTCCACCCAATTAAGCATGTGTAGGATAATTTATGGAACTATTAATCTGGGCTTTGTATCGGCAGTGCTTTCCTCCCCTATTCCAAGCAAGTAGCCAGGCTAATTGGGCCTTACTTCAGGGACGTTTGTAGCAGAAGTTTGAAAGCAAACTCCCTACTCCCCCTGCCTGGCGTCTGCTCTTCAGGAGCTCGAGTTCCTGAAGTGGATGGTGCGGGAGGGGGCAAGCAGGGACAGGGGGAGCAAGGGGAGAAGGAGACTGCCCTACACTAGGAAAGATGGTGGTTTCCACAGACGTCGGAAGCCTGTGCCTACTCCTGGCAGTACCTAGGGAAGAAGACAAGGCCTTCAGGCAGCCTCTTGAGAGGCTGTAACCTTGGCAACAGGGCTCCCATTGTAAAGAAAGATGCCTACAGCCCAAAAAAGGGCACAGAAGAGAGTCACTGTCATTCAAGGCTCTGTGACAACTTTAACAATAGGACTACCATGATGTGCAAAAATTAGCAGTAGTCTGTTTTTCAAGGAACCACAAAAGTCTCTGAGATACTGAAGGAGAAACAGAGAGAGAGAGAGAGAGAGAGAGAGAGAGAACCCAAACAACAGACTGAATTTACTTCCAGCAAGGTGGGATGAAGGCTCAGAGGAATTCTTGCACACCCTACTAGGGTCTACTGGGGTCCAAGGCCTCCACAGCCCAGTCTTCTCAGTCTGGTGCTCCAGACATTTGTTTTTTCTTCTCCTGTGTGGATTCTACACTCACTATGCTTTCCTGCCTCTGCTTTTGCTTGGACTTGTCTGTCCTTTGGCAAAATACATTCACTCACTCTGTAATGAGTGCCCATCTTTTCTAGCCTCATATACTTCCCCTCATATAATTCTCCCTGATCTCTCTGCAAAGCCATAATTTCCTCCAAATTTGTTACTTCTTTTGGGACATTTACCCTGTACTACTTTGTGTTACAATCTCCTATCTGCTCCTCTATCATATATTAAAAATTTATTGAACATCTGCTATGCACCTTGAAGACAGTGACTGTTTCCCAAGTACCTAGGATAACACCATATATTTATTCATTTGCCAGAAAATATTTTGTGAGGGTCTGCTGTATCCTCGACCCTAGGACACTAAAGTGAGCAGGGTACAGAACCTGTCCTCAAGGTTCTCAAAGTCCACGTGTCATGTTCAAAGCTCACAGGCTTGCATAGAGTAAGTTCTCAGAGAGCACTGGTTGATATTAATTGTTAGCTTCTTAAAGCTCCATTTGGCTACTTGTGGGAAATTTAAGCAAAATGAGCAGGATAAATTTTTTAGAGAGAAAGCTTCCAGATGCTTTAGAATATGCCACCTAGAATGGGGTGGTAACCATTACACTTATAAGACAAAATAGCAAAAAAACTAGGCCGGGTGCGGTGGCTCACGCCTGTAATCCTAGCACTCTGGGAGGCCAAGGCAGGTGGATTGCTCGAGGTCAGGAATTCAAAACCAGCCTGAGCAAGAGTGAGACCCCATCTCTACTATAAATAGAAAGAAACTAATTGGCCAACTAATAGATATAGAGAAAAAATTGGCCGGGCATGGTGGCACATGCCTGTAGTCCCAGCTACTTGGGAGGCTGAGGCAGGAGGATCACTTGAGCCCAGGAAATTGAGGTTGCTGTGAGCTAGGCTGATGCCACGGCACTCACTCTAGCCTGGGCAACAAAGTGAGACTCTGTCTCAAAAAAAAAACCAAAAAAAAAACAAGTGTGCTTTAATCATTTCCATTTTGAAAAGAGATAAGCAAGATCAGTTTTATTCTCAAAAAACATGCAAATAAAAATATCAGTAGCACTTATTTGAAATCCATAAAAAATGCTGAGATATAGAAACTATTGTCCAAAAACTGCATTCTTTTCCCAGGGCTTGCTTCCTTTGCCTTCATCCTTTCTTCTGTCACTGCTGCCTTGGAATTTGCTGTTATGTGTAATAAGACTCCGTTACAATATTTGTGGATAACTCAAGGCACATTCACTGGATATCTTGGCCCAAGTCACAGTCCAGACTTAATCACTGATCTCCATGCTTCTCAGCCTGTGTTGGGCTTTTCTCTATCCTTCCCAATTTTCTATTCTCCTGACTCTATTACCTTTGGGGGGAGGGGGGTGGGCAACCTTTCTGTTTCAATATCCCAAGCATGTTGCATGCCGTATATTGTAGTGGGCTAGTGAAGGAAGGAACACTGGCCTGGAATCAAGAAGCCCGGACTCATTTGGCCATTATTCATTCAACAATATTTGTGTGTGCAATTTCTCTGTATCAGATATTGATCTAAGTTTTGGAAAACAGTCATGAACAAGACAGTAAAAATATCTAGCTTACATCCTGGTAGAGAAAGATAATAAACAAGTACACAGATCATAAGAAGATCATAGATGGTGATAAATGCTATGAAGGGAAGAAATGGGGTGATGGGATAAATAGTCATCGGAGAGGGGTACTTGGTGTGGACTGTCAGGGGAGGCTCTCCTGACATTTCAGCAGACCCGACAGATGCTGGCCAGGTTCCAAGGAAGTGTTCTAGGCATCTCATCCTTAATGTGACTAAGGCACAGAAAGGAGGCCAGTGTGGCAAGGGCAGGAAGCAGGAGGGACAGAGGGACCCAGTGAGGCTAGTAGAAAAAGATGAGCTCATGGAAGACCTAGAAGATATGCTGAGTTTAGATTTTAATCTAAGAGTCTGAGATTTATTTGATGTGTTTTAAGCAGAGAAATGAAACAATTTCATTTTTCAAGCGTCACTATGACTACTGGGTGGAGAGTGGAATTAGAAATACCAGTTAGGAGACTCCTGCATAAATCCAGGAGTGAGAGGGGTAAGGTTCAATTCTTTGGAGCGGGAGCTTGCAAGATTTATAGAGGCAGCCCGTGTAAAAGGTGAGGGAGAGTCACCAAGATGTACCTGGATTTTGGCTATAAGAATTGGGTGGGTGGTGCTGCCCTTGACCGACGCCTGAAAACATTCCAAGCCTGCCTCGCCTAACCTTGGGCAATTTGGTCTCTTCAACTTCGAAATGAAGGTGTTGAAAGAGATGGAAGAGGTGGCCCCAGATACTTCTTCAGCACTAAAATATCACCCTTCTGTTGGGTTATTAGGACATGAATGTTTTCCTTCCTCCCCATGCAGGCAATAACACAAGTTGTGGAATGATGGGAGGCTGGGATTCAAATCCAACCTCCAAAAAGCCATGTGACTTTGGCACATAAACTGTGTGCCTCCTCAGTCTTTTTATCTGTAAAATGGAATCATAAAACCAATCTTCCTCACTGGGCTGCTAGAAGACATAAGTAATATAATTGTGAAAGGCACAACTCAACAATCGTTTCTTTTCTTCTTTCATTCATTTTACTTTGTAAATCTCTTGACTCTGCGACTTCTCTTTTCTCTAAGAATGAACTAACTCCAAGATCCGGGACTCTTAGAGCAGAACTTCACCCGTGCCCCTCCCTCCCACGATGGTCCTCAGCCCTGTGCCTTCCCACCTGCATGTTGAGCCCCGAAGGTGAACGAAGGTGGACGCAAGGAGCCGGGGGCACCAGCTGCCAGGTTCAAGCTTCACTGCGATTGGCGCCTTGGCGGCCTGCCAGCTCCGCGCTGCTGCCCGAGGGCGGGGAAGGGAACAGACAACCGCCTCTGAGAGAACGCGGGGCGCAGTGCTGCGAGCCTCTGGTAAGGGGAGGTCTCTTCCCCTGAAGCCCCACGAACGCGCCTTTGCTGCCGATGACCATATTATTTGACACTTGGAGAACAACATGGACGAACTACAACAAGGGGACTGTGGTCTTATCTGCTGCCCTCGCGATGTTTTTAGTTACCAAAAACTAAAATTTTAGCCACTATTAACATTTACTAATGAATGGTCCCCTTCGGTTTCTTTCATTTGTGCCTCTCTTTTTCATTTGTCTCATCAGCGCATTTTTCCTTTCAGGGAAAAGCCAATAGCAGTTCTCCACGCGCCCAGCAAAGGGGCGTTTTCAAGGGCTTGTTGCTGCCGTCGGTCCCGCTCCGGCCGCCAGGGGGCGCCGCGTCCCCGGCCGGGCCGCGCGGCAGCGGCGCGCAGGGACGCGGGGACGCCGCCACGGCGCGGCGGGCGCCAGGGCCGGCCGGTCCGCCGCTCGCCTGCCCCCCCTGTGCCGACGCCCGTGTGCACGCCCTTCGCCTGCCCGCGGGCTCTCCGCGGCCGCCCCCGCGCGACACGCGACCGGCGCCGCCTCCCCGTTCCGCCGCCAGCCGGCCGGGAGGCGGGCGCCGGGTCGCGTGTCGCCACACGCCTCGCTCCGGCGGGCGGGCGCGCGGGGGCCGACGGGCGCGGGACGGAGCGGTTCGGCGGGCAGCGCGCGGGCCAGGGCGAGGGCGCGGCCGCGAAGCCTCGCACACTGGGGGCCGCGGGCGCCGCGCGTGTGCTCCGTCCGGGCGGGAGCGGCGCCCGCCCGCCGCGGACGTTGGTGACGAGCCGGCTGCGTGAGCGGTTTGCAGACGTCGGCCCGCGCGAGGCGTTCTCTCCGGAGCTGGGCGAGGCGAGGCCAGATCGCTCACCCCTCGACACCCGGCGTCCCGCGCCGCGGGGCGGCCGCCGAAAGGACGCGGCTACGCCCGGAAGAAACCAGGGCGACGCGACTGAGGGCCCACCGCCCCACCGCGGGCCGGCCGGACAGCGGCCTCACAAGAGGTGTGAGAGCTGTGGTGTCGCCACTCTGCCCTCTCCCGGTAGGGCGGAGCGTCCTTGTTGCCAGACTGTTGTGACGGCCACACCCGGGACGGGACGGGACGGGACTGCGGCCCACCCGCCGGAGACTTTGCCCACAGGAAGCTTCTTTCTGGCAACTCAGAGGCAGACTGTTTCCAAGGCCGCTGCAACCTCCCTTGAATTATTAAGGAAGAGAAAGAAAAGATGGAACATGAAAGATATCTTAGTGATAACCTATGGTTTGGAATGAGAAATGGATGTTTTAGTTTGGTTGTTAAATGGATTCTCTTTTTCCAAAGAATTTCTTGCAAAAAATTAGTGGGAGTCAAGGTGAGGCATTGTGTGTTTGATATTTTTATACCAACTATAGTACATTTTAATACAATGTTTTGAGTCCCTTTTGAATTTCCCTAAGACCTAGATCAACCTGCTCTGTTCTAGGTTCCACATTAGTAAAAACTAAATCGTAGCTTCCACCTGTGTCACAAATATGTAATTTGATGAGGTAACCTACTATCAGGCCATATTTACAGAATGACTAAAAGTAAACTTCTCTGAGATGTCAATACGTAGGTGTCTGTAAATATCCAGAGAGACTGGCAAATCTACAAAAAGGACACCAAATTAAAGTTACAAAATTAAGCAATCACAGCTATGATGATACTTTAAGTCTGCCATTCTGTTATGGTGCCCATTCCAGAGTATTTGACATAAAAAATTAAGACATTTAAGAAAAATAAAAACACCTAAGTGTCTTTTGGAAGCTTCCTGAAACTACCTGTGAGAATCTGTTTATTTTTCCTTTAATTAGGATTTTATTTTATTTTACTTAAAAAAAAACTAAACAACTTGAATGAAGGGAGCCAAAGTACATGCTAATGGTAGAGTGAGTCATGGTGTTACAGCACGTGTTACAGGGGGTGGTCCCAAGGACAAACCAGAGCAGCACATGGAGAGTCGGAGAATCAAAGTTTATTCACCAGCAGGCTCACAGGAGCCTTGCCACCAAGGCGCCATCTACGCAATTTTTCCCACTTTTATTAAGTTGGGGTGGTCCGAGGGGTGGGGTACCAGGTGTAGGTTAGTCAATGTGTCCCAATAGGTTAATATGATGTTGATGCACCAGGCAATAGATTTAGTGTTATGCTGATGCCAGGCAATGGACTAGTTGATGGGCCAGGGAACAGGTTAGCCTTATGCTGATGCGGGTCTTCATAAGTGGGGTGTCTCCAGTGCCTGATGGCCAAGTGATAGACGGGGGTTTCCCTTATCATTGGAGCTTGTCCTTTTTTCTGGAGAATTATTTCACTTAAGGAGTCAACCAGGTAATTTGACTACTTGCTGGCCTCTTGGATGTACTGTAGATTGTTATGAATTGTATGCTTAAAGACTTACACTTCAGAATGGCATGCCCAGCACACACATTCACTTCTACTCCCTTGCAAAGTCGAGTGACATTTACAGTAAAGCAGTAAGGCAAGAATAAAGTCATGACACCATGGTGACTAGAAGGAAGGTCATAAGTGCGACAAAAATGTTGATGAATTTCTTGGCAGCAAGAAAGAGGATGGGACCATATTACTGGATAAGCCAGGGCAAAGGATGCTGAGGCCTAGAACACATTTGGTAGACTGCTGCAGCACAGGTGGGTGCCATTCTGTATGGCAGAGTCCTAGGAGACCCTAAATTTGTAGATGACAAGAAACAACAGCAGAAGGAGGATGCAGAGCAATAATCAGTGTAATTAATTAGAATACGATTTACGAAATAACCTGGTTCAGGTAGCCCCTCCCACTCCATTCCTATCCCTTGTATCAGAGCAATTAGAGCAAGTAGAACTGTAGAACTGCTTCCTTCCTGTTCCATGCCCACGTGCCCTAAAGGAAGTGTGTCCCACTCACCAGCACGCACAGTCAGACCCCTCAGCCCTGGGGGTCAGTAGAGAAGCTTGTAGGAGAATACAACAGCAGGGAAACCCACGCAGTGGTCTATAGCATTTATCACTGAGCACTTGAAGAAATCTGCAGCTAAGATAAGAGACTTGAGAAGGCACCCAAGGGAACTTTTTTGGGTTGATGAAACTGTTCTCTATCTTGATTATGATGGTAATAACATGACTATCTACATTTATCAGACCTCCTCAAATTGAATACCTTTAAAAGGTGAAATTACTGTCTATAAATTATGCCTCGGTAAACCTGAACTTCAAAAAAGAAGCACAAACCATGAAAGGAAAGAAACTAAAGTTAACAACGGACTTGGCTGGCTGCAGTCCTGGGGAGTTTGTCCACTTTTCCAGCAGCACAGAGGGTAACAAATACAAAGGCTGGCTCCATCTTCGCAAAGGCATCAACCTAACCTGATTGACTCAGAAACAGGAGAGGGGCAAAGGCCGCATGTAAACCAGGTACACACCAGGTCCCAGGCATTCTAAAGGACCTTATTTAATTCACAGCACACTGGATATGTCTGCCTAGGGAAATGCCCCTCACCTCTCTAAGTGGGACATTTGGGAATGTGTGACATCAGCCTAGGACACCTAGATGCTTAATAAATGTGAACTAAATGTCATGCAAAACAAAAATAAAACCAAAAGAGACTTATTTAAAAGGAACAAGCAGAAAACAAGAAAGGGTTACTGGAAATTAAAAATATGTCTGCTAAAAAATTTTACCTGTAATACAAGGGCTGAAAAATGAAATCAAGGAAAACTACCAAAATGATGAGAAAAAAGCAAAAGAAGTCAAAAATATGAAAGAAAAATTAAAATCATAGAGAATCAACAAAAGTCCAACACCCACCTAACAGAAGTGCCAGAAGGAGAGAACTGAAAAAAGGCACAGGAGAAAATCATTAATGCAACAGTAATTGAAGGAGTATGAAATTCATGCTTATGGAATCGAACACTAAAGAAAGAAAAGAGAAAAACCTTAAGAGTATCAAGAAAATAATTACATAAAAATTAAAATAAAATTGGCATCAAATTTCTCATCTGCAATACTTCTAGAAGACAAGGGAAGACTGTGCCTTTTCACAGTTCTGCAGGACGGTTATTGACCAAATCAGAATAGGAAGTCAGATACCTGTAAAAATAATATCTTCTAAGAAAGCACTTTTCATTCAACATATAGTATGGTTGAGATGCTGAAGTCTAGTGATATAATGAAGAACACTTGTGTTTCTATTCTGAACAAGAAAAATGTAAGACCATTACCAATTTAGTATTAAAAAAAAATAAGTTGGTCAAGAACCAGTAAACAAATATGAACAACTAAAGTATGGCATGATTTTGAAGAATTTGAGCATAAAGAAAGAGAATCCATTTGACCTCAATGCCTAGAACATGTTCCTTTGACTAGTTTAGTGACATAGGATTGCATTCCCTTTTCAAGGGATTAAACCTCTTAATTCTGCATTGAATTACATTTAATATGGTAAAAATGTGAAAAAGTGACATTTATTGATTTAAAGCTATACATGTAACTGTAGAGGAAATGTAATAAATATGGGGAGTGGTAGAAGGTAAATTCTTTCAGAGTATGGAGGGAACTGATACTGTCTAAGTAATATGTTCAGAATAGAAGAATAGGCAAATTACCATAAATTATAGTAGTAACCATCAGAGGACTAAAACATAAGCAATTAAAAGTGGTTTCTTCTGAGGAGGGTATGGGAGCTGGGGATAATACTCTTTCACTTGTTATTTAATGCCATTATATATTTTTTCAACATTTTGCTTTACCATATGCATGTATGACTTTACAAATTTAATAAGAGAGAGAGAGAAATTCACAGGCTTGCAAACTTGACTGTATCATTAGAAATACTTCCAGCAGCGATATACAGAAAACCTGACTAACAGTGGCTTAATTTATAACATTTGTTTAAAAAGAGATCTAGAGGTAGGCAGAATGAACCAGCTACGGTTGGTTTGGTGGCTTGATGACATCAACAGGGGCTCCGTTTGTTTCTTTCTGCTCTGCCGTCAGAGCTCTGGCTATGGTCTCCACTCATGATCCCAACAGGGCTGCTTATTCCAGAAACCAGTTCTCTCGCACCCACATCCCACATCAGGAAAGAAATTGGCAGAGACAAAAGAGGACTAACGCCCTCATTCTGACCTCCCTTCAATTCTTTTCCAGAAGCCACCATCCCTTCCCCCTCCACCATTCAACGCCTCTCCATCCCTCTC